CTGTCAATAAGCCCCACTAGCTCGTGAGCAAAGACCCTCTTCCCCCTTTAAGAAAGGTGAATCCCACCTGAACACCAGCAAACCAGGTGCTGTATACGCCATCCCATTATTGAAAAAAACAAAATTTTGGTGGTGGCACCAGCTGCAGAGCCGTGTATGAGCAGACTGGGCCTGCCTGTTTCTTCCTATGTCACTGCCAGCAACTGGAAGGAGAGACAGAAAAATAACCTGTGCTCCAGATTCCCTTACCAACTGTTCTGAGGCCCTGAAGCCTCTTTTCATCACTCTTGGTCTGTGTTGCAGCTTCGTTGCTGCAATGGAAGAGCAGTAGTGGGCAATAGCCTGAGGGCCACACCAGGCTAGGAAGTTTCCTGGTGATGTCCTTGACCTGGGCCCCAGGGAGGCAGCAGTTTTCCCTGAGAGGAGGGTCTGATGCTCCGTTCCCCTCAGAAGGGAGTGACCTACAACTATAACCCGCCTTTTCTTCCTCCTCGGTGTGGTCGTGATACAGAGGGTAGGCCTTTCTGACCTTGGCAGCACCTCTCGTGTAGCTGGATCGTCGTCCACTTCATTCATGGGTTGGTCTTCCACATCCAGAGCCTCATACCTGTTGTACAGAGGCACCTGGGGAGACAAGGTGGGCAAGGCGGGGGGCTTGCCTGCTGCACCAAGCATGGACTTGTCTCCATTCATTTCTTCCCTTTAAGCTATTGCCTTCAGCCTGGCAGGGGGAGGATACAAGGATACCCTTGATCTTGGGTTTTCCTGGTGGCTGTTTCTGTCTCAGGGAGGGCAGAGCACGGTTCCACCAGTCCATCTCTTTCTCAGACTCCCTGATGCTCCTCAACCTTTCTACCCCCTGTTGTAGCTCTGCCCCCAGGCTGAGCAGATCGTCCACCTGGTCACACCTCACACAGCTGTTCTCACTACTGCTGTCAGTTATCAGTGAAAGGTGAATTATTATTTATTATATTAAGAAAGGTTATTGCCATCTGCCTTTCTGGAAGGATAGTTATGGTTCTGAGAGGCGGGTTTTTTTGTTTTCCCTAAACTGAGGAACTAACTGGGAAAATATGAGTCCTTAGTAATAGAGAAAGTTGGTTTGGGATACTTACTTGGCAGCCTTTCTCTGCTTCCTTCCTGTTGCCATAGGAATGCTGACTATTTTCATATTAGCATATTCTCTTCTAAAATCCAAACAGTGATGTGGCAGAAGAACAGAGTAAAGAACCCAGAACCATGAAGACAGCTGCCAATAATCCACCAAAAAGAGGAGTATCCTTGACTCGGAGCCACAGTGTTGGAGGTCCACTGCAAAACATTGACCTTTCCCAGAGACCATCTCATGGCATTTCAACAGTTAGTCTTCCAAATAGTTTGCAAGAAGTTGTGGTAAGTCTAGAAGCTACACATTCAGTTGACAGTAAAATGTTGAATGCAATGAATTTGATGCAGTGAATGCAATGAATAATGTTCTGCTACTAGCATTTGTGTCCATTTGGGGCATGGGAATGGCCGAGCATATTTTCATGTTCTTATGAGAAAAAGTCTTGGTTCAGTTAATCTAAAATTACTTTCTCAGTACATTGTACAAATGGTGCTGCTTGACTTTGCAGTGTTCTGTCTAGCAGAATGAAGCTAGTCTATCTTTCTAAATTTGGAAGTTTTGTTTTAAAAATAACGCAACTTCAACAGCAGACTAAACGCAATAGCACAAACAACACACTTGCAAGAGTGAAAGTTTCTTCCTTTTCCGCACACTTACTTACACTCCTCTATATCTGTTAGGCTTACCTGTTGAGTGAATGGGAAAAGGTAAGAGGCAGTATTGAGACTATTACACTATTCTTCCACTTTTACACTGAAATAAATTTTGTCTCTCCTGGTGTTTTTTATCGGCAAGCATGTCTTAACATGTGAACTCATGATTCAGTTCCACAGCTGATGTAATTACTGACATAATTCTGCAATCTCCTTCACTACTGGCTTAGTACTGGTTTAGATAACTTGTTCCTGATCGTGAAGTTTCAAGCTCTAACAAATTAGTATTTTCTCTTTTCACGTAATAGAAAGAGCTTAGGTGACTGTTCTTTAAAGTTAAGAAACATCTCAGTTTCTTAACTTTAAGTCAGAACTGCGAATGCTGTTAAAGTTATTGTGTGTTCGGTACTTCCAGAGGCTTCCAAATATCAAAAGAAACTGGGCAATGGGGGATTTTCATGGCAAGTAATCCCGAAGAGTATTTCTGGAAAAAAAATCTTGTATTTTGTAAAAACACCAGTTTTTCTTTTGTGTGTGTTGTTTTGTTTTGGTTTTAGGATCCTTTAATAAAAAAGCCTAACCCTCTCCCTGTATCTGTACCCTACTTGAGCCCTTTGGTACTGCGTAAGGAGCTTGAATCACTTTTGGAAAATGAGGGAGAGCAAGTAATTCATACATCCAAATTCATCAATCAACACCCCATCATTTTCTGGAACCTAGTCTGGTATTTCCGACGATTGGATCTACCTAGCAACTTACCTGGACTCATTCTAACATCTGAACACTGTAATGATGGGGTACAGGTAAGTGGCTTCCTCATATTAGAACTGCACATATTGGAGTAAACTAAATTTGAGAGTTTGGTTCAAAAAAAGTGGGTAAGTAATTTCTGAGTAGCTTGGATCTAGGTTCCTGTTTTTTGTAATACAGGTAGATAGGTTTGTTTTCTGCAGGGAATCTTGAAGGAAGATGAGTGAAAACAGCATTAAAATTCTAATCAAGCTGTTCTCTTTTAAAAAGCCAGAGACTGATGTTCATTAAAGAGAAGGCTGATAAGTAGAAGGAAACAAGATGTGTCTGTGGAGAGCTCACAAATTGCAATACATTGTAATCCGCATGGTGTGGGTTATATAGGGTGTATAAACTTTTTAAGTTATTGGTCAATATTTCTTGTTCTTTTCCACTAATGGTTTTTGTTATTCAGACTCCACTGAGTTTGGTTCTATATGAATAGAACAAAAGAACATAGAATGGGTACTATATTTTAAATATTTTGCTTTTCCCATTTTAAGAAGCAGATGTTTTTCTGAAACCTGTATGATTTATATATGTAAGTACCAAATTCAATAGGTATTTGTATATGATGCATACAAAAAAAGTAGGATTTTCCTATCTACTTGTATGTACTTAAATTTTAAAATTATATCCCTCAATTTTCAAAAAAACCCAACACCAAGAACCAAGAACAATTTTCCAAGGAAGATAGTTGAATACAATACTAATGAAATTTAAAGCATAATGGAAAAATACAATGCCTTAGCTGGGAAAAACACAAGATGGGACATAATATCTTGTAATTGCTACTTTAAATTGACACACTAGTGGTAATTTTTTTCATTCACACTAATTCTTATTGTATTAATGATTCCAGAGGCAGAGGCACTGAATTTTATAAAATAATTATGGAACTATTGTTTTGAGTACCATATATTTTTAATGGAAATATATGTTTCATGTTTGTATGCAAATACAGATTCTTTCTGTTTGTTGGGAAGACCAACGCAAAGACATGCATACCAAATCTCAATCAGGTCAGAAAATACTCAGTTGTGGCATGATGAGTAGGACAAATCGAGTAACGTGTTTGGTGCACAAAAAATGTTTTCGGATACATACTCATAAATACTTTCTTCAGCTACCTGTAGAAAACTGAATGGTCTTCATACATTAGGGTAAACTAGAAAAGGCAATTAAAAGTTGCAGTAGTTGTGACTTTGTTCTGGTTGAGTGCAGTTTCCTCTAGAAGACATCAACTGTTTCTGTTTGTTGGATCCAAGATAAATAAAGTAAACTTCTTTTGTTTGCAAAGTGAGTAAAAGAGCAGTTTTTAAAATGATAGGACTATACTGATGTTTTAAAACTTCTTCCCTTTCCTCATGTTTTTTAGCTTCCTTTGACGTCTCTTGCTCAAGATAGCAAGCTAGTATACATCCACCTTCTGTGGGACAATATCAATCTTCATCAAGAGCCAGGGGAGCCCCTGTATATATCTTGGAGAAATCTCAGTAAGTTACAGAAAAGCAGAGGGAGTAGAGGCTCTGCAAATAAACAGTTGTTTTGTCGTGTCTGAAGTGTGCACAGTCCATCAGGTTGGAAAGCTTTTTTTAGTGTGTGAAGCATCTGCAGTCCCTTAGGTACTTAACATAGTCTCAGTGTAAAATTATTTGTGAAAATACCTTATTGATCTCTGTGAAAAGGTATGTTATCTGTTCTTTATGTGTCATACACTTATAAACAAGGTGGGAAGATTTGCTGTAGATGTGGTGCTAAAATAATGTCAATTTTATGAAAACCTTAGGTTGGTGTGACTATGATTACTAGCCTTGGTCTACATTTCATTTACAAGCCATGTGCTTGCTGCCTAATCTGTAGTCTTATCTGTTTCCTGGTAAATGGACTTACTGTTCCCTCACAAGTCACTGTGTCCAAAGAGTAATAATTCAGTGTTATTCTGGAAGTGGCAATATAAGCAACAAATGATGATTGTAAATGTCTTAATAATTTTCTTTGCTGTTAGATGCAACTGTGCATTATCTTATTTCAGTATGTAGCCCAAAGTTATCAATGAATTGTAGGTGGCTTTTAAGAAGGGCTTTGGTAAGAAAAGTTTCTTTGATAAACCAAGTGATGGTGTTTTCCTTTGTTTTCTTTTTTATTCTTTGTGTAAAAATGACCGTATTGGAATGAACTTAGTTTTTGAAAATTAAGTACATCAATAATCTGAGCTAACAAACCATCACAGGCAACACCTGATGCTGGATACTCATCAGTCTCTTGTATTTCTCTGTCATGTAGGAGCTCTTGCACATGGATACTTGATGCATCATCCTGTCACTTTTGTGGTGGAGTAAATACTATAAGCAGATAAAGCCTTTCCATTGTAATAAATTTCTGTAGATTGAGTAGAGGTTCTTTATGTATATCTCATTTTCTGAAATACCTTCTGCTTATTAAAGTGAGGAAAAAAAATCTTGTGTTTTAATAATCTATACTGTTGCATTTCCCAGATTCTTCTGAAAAGAGACCCTCCACAGTGGCAGAAGATCAGCAGGCAACAAACACTTTGTTGGAGAACATCAAACTAAGTATTCAACACAATAATGTTGTTAAACCGATCAACCTCCTTCTACAGAAAGTTAAGCCAGATGTGAAACGACAGAGGTAAAGGGGTAATCTCTTCTTTCTTTCTCCCCACTCAAAAGTTAAATAAGATCAGACCGTATACACTTGTTAATGATAATTCTGTAAGGACCTCTTGGAAATACTGTTTCATTTGTGTCTACCAAACAGTGTGTATTTATTTATGCCCATGTTTACAAACAGATACATTCTGTAGCCAGATGCATAATTCATCCATATCAAATGGATAAATGTAATTCTTTAGTCAAAATTGATGTTCTGCAAATTAATAAGAAAAATGCAGGTACTGACTATGCAGATTTTGGTTTTGCTCCAGATCTAGCAAACTGACAAATACAAGTGTGAAGCATCCTGTTGCAGTGTCTGGAATATTCTGCAAACTACCTAGTTATACCTGGAGTACTGGCAAAGTAAAGTGAATACAGCATAATCCACAAACAAAGGGAGACATGTAAATAACACTTGTACAGTACATTTTGCTATCTGCACTACAATTCAGAGGGGGCTTCACATAAAAGCACAGCCTCTGAAAGTAAATTACAGCAGATATGAATTGTGTTTGAAGTCTATCATTCTAACTCATCTTTGCTTCTGTGGTTTGTAGTTACTAAAAAGAAACAAGAACTAAGCAGCCTAGAGAAGAATCTTTGAGTTCCACAAGGAAAAAAAATAATATCTAATTGTTTTGTGATACCCAGTTCTAAAATAGATTGCGACATTCTGAAACAAAAAACAAAGTAAGGGTGATCTGAAATAAGCCTGCTCCCTGTATTTCACCCTCAGACAGGAATGAGTTCATAAATAAGTGGTGCTTAATTTTATATTTCTTGTTTTTCTGGAGTTTTTATGGCACATTTGGCAGAGGGATTTTTTATAGAAAATGTAACTGCTGGGATTTGGTGATAATATAACTTCATTCAGGAAAAATATTGAGGCATGAGAAAACCTTAAGCTAGTAATCATGTAGATTGGTCACTTTCTTCACAAGCAAGATTCACAGAACCTTTTGCAGAAACTACATAGTGGAAGATTAGCATCCTCAGCATTGACTTTCCAAATTTAGGGTAGTTGGTGCTTTCATTGACTTGCCCTTCAAAATATTTCCTAGGAGTTTTTACAGAGAAATTCTTTTCCTGTCTCTGGTGTCTCTTGGAAGAGAGAACATTGACATCGGTAAGTAAAAAATACTGTGAAACGCATAGTGCCTGTGTATGAAATATATAAATACTTTATATGAAAACTAGTATGTAAAATCAGCTTTTCATTTGTGAGTCTCCAACTAACTTTTCAATTGCTGTGTTTTAAGGAAAAGTACTAGGCTGTCCCTCTTCAAGTAGGTGTTGCTTTTATGAAAATGTAATTCAGATGGGGCCATTAATTTTGGCTTTGTTTACAGTAATCACGTATTTTAAACAAAGTTTATTAGCTTGAAGCTTTAATTCCTTACTTGTGAAAACTTGTTCCCAGTCTTGCCCATCTTTCTTCAGCCCACATACTAGACCTGTCATATAGCCACCTAATTGCCTACCCCTTCCTGATCTCCTCTACCCTGAATTCTGTTTGGTACTGTGCAAGCAAAGGGACTCCCTTATGGGATGTGACAGGGGAAATACCCTGGGAACAGGCAAACTGAACTGTGATAGAAGTAATGGGCATCCACTGTGATGCGTTGTGATGCTCCAGTGTGAAGAGCTTTTCAGGTCATGTAAGAGGATGCATTTTGAAAAAAAATAGATCAGCAGCTAGTTAAGTTAAATACTTTGTTATTATATAAAAATTATCAAAAGTATTTTGTAAGAACAGTAGTGTGCACTGTACAGGGTTTCTTAAGTAACTTCAACTGTGCTTTTTCTGTTTCAGAGGTCTTTGATAGTGAATACAGACTTGCACATAAAAATCTACCAAAGGATGTTCTTGAAAAGATGCAGAAAATAGATGCTCCACCAAGCAGCAGGGTAGAGTGTTGTAGGAAGTGCTTTGGAGCACCTTTAATATAAAAATGAAGAAGACACATGCTAAACTTCAGTGAGACAAAAATAGAAGTGAACAAACCAGGAGCATGGCGATGTATACACTTTGAATTCCACAAGGTGATAATTGAGCAATTTGTCAAACAATTTCGTTGAGCTACAACATAGCTTCCCGTCTTTCATCTCATGAGACACAGTGTAAAAGTACGTTAAAATGTTTAAAAACTATGTTAACAGAGTGAGTTAGTTTCAGTAATTGATCTGCTTTTTCTTTTTTCTGTGTATACTTCTCCTTTTCCTTCCTCAAATCTTTCCCCTACAATATCAAGTTGTTCAAAAAGGTGATGATTAAACTGCAGCCTGTAGTTGGTGACTTTCTTAAGGGCCACCAACATGTGTGAATTTTAATGAAATACTTTTCCTGCTACAGAATACTTAAGATTCTTCACTACTGCTTTAAGATGACCTTTAACTAAAGAGTGAGATCTCTTTATTGGTGTGCAGTATGTATGTATAAACATCTGAGTCCTTGGATTGGGAGCTGCAATGCAGTTGCTTCTTGTCAGATTACAGTACCTAAAATTGCTACCCTTCTCCTGATGCTTGTCTGAATCAGTATTCTAAATTATCTTTGGCTCCCCTTTTCATAATGTATGTCTATAGTTGTAAAAGCCAGAAACTTACACTCAGTTATTCTGTATCCTCTATCTGACAAGTTAAAGATCCTACAAACATACTGCCACTTTCTCCAGAAGAATGATAGGCTTCCACACTAAGCAGCTCAGAAATGGATGGCTTTCTAAAAATTAGATAGGAAGCTTAAATGGCATTAGGATACATACAAGTTTTGTCAAACAGATACTGTCTGAAAAAAAAATATGCTTTATACTGTATGCATGTATGCTTAAAAAGGGTCTTTTCCTTGAATTCTTTATCACCCTTTCACACTAGCCTGTGGGGTAATTACTTTGCACTGATAGTCCAAATTCAATATTTCAATTAAAATGTATTTATAAATGCAGTATTCAAGGTGTATATTAGCACAAAGAAAGTGCTTCAGTCTATGATTTGAAAAGATGAATCCATCTTTTGGATTGCTTCTGATAGATAAGACACTTCCTCACCTCCTGGATCTAATTGACTACAGCAGTAGTCAAGAAGTCAACTGTAGTTGACTACAGTCTTGGCAAGAGCAGCCTGGATATTGGTCAAGAGTTTAAATGTTTCTGTTACTTGAGGAATATGATAAGATTTATTCCAGGTTTTTTGCTGAAGTTTAATGGTGTGGCTCTTCTGCTGAAATTATTCCTAGAGAAAAAGCGAGTAAGATTTGTAGCATGTTAAAGGAGCATAGCTAAAACTATAATTGCATCTGAGTATGAATGTATTTACTTCATACTGCTCTCTTTCTTAAAAATTTTCATTCTTGAAAATGATGAGGGATGAAGATCTGTCTGGAACAGCTTCTACATGAAACAACAAAACCAACTTTTGTTTTTTCATGTGGCTAAAACAAAGGATTTGCATTATTTGTGACAAAATACATTTGCATTATAGGCTGATTCTTGTATTTTGTCTAGAAGTGCTGATCCTAAGTATGGGGATATTGCCTGGACAGATTCTCTCCTGATGAAAATATTGTGCTTTCTCAACAATTAAAAGCAAGAAAGTACACACTGACTTTTTTTTCATCCTTTATTCTTTGGGTTTATGCATGGTTGCTTGCAAATATCTGACCTACATCACAATGAAAGAGTAGAGTTTGATTCTTCATGTTTTCCTCTTTTCTCCTATTACATAATTGATGTGCGGTTCCATCCTTTTACAGTGAAAGTCTGTCTGAAGCATTCATCCAAACAACTTAAGTCAAACAAAACAGCAAATTTTCCTGTATAATTCTATGCTCATCTTAAACATACAGCTGTACAAAGACAATTTTTGAGTGTTAAATGGACAAACCACATGATTATGTGATGCAACTTGCAAGTAATCAAGTTTTAGTTATCCTTACATTTTCCCAGCTCATTAAATTACAAAGAAAATCTTGCCCAGTGAATGCTGTTTTAGATAATTGGTGACATCCATATTGTTTCAAACCATTGTAAGTAGTATTATAAACTAAATTCTGTAAGCAGATCACCTTCATTTCAAAACAACCTTCCCATCTGTTGCTGAAAATATAGGTTAATCAGGCAGTAGTGTTGTAGAAACAGCAAAGCATATTGTGCTAAATGTTAGACTTTCCCCAAATATATACACTAAACTAAAAAAAACAACAAAACAAAAAAGCCCAAACAAACAAAAAAAACCCACCAAAACCACAAACCCTAAAGGGGAAAAAGACAGTTGCAGGATTGAACTTGGTTTGATTTGGTCCTGCATATTGGCATTTCTGTACACTACAAATTAACTTCTGTTTCTATTGTATATACCTGGATTGCAGAATGGTAGAAGTCCTGCATGTAATTACTTGAAATCTTGAATCTGCCTATTGACATTAATTCTTTAATATCGAATGACAAAAGTAAGCCCTTAGTCTTTTTAATTTGGATTTTTGTAATACCTAGTTTTTAATAGCTAACTAATCAGATGGTTCTTGAATGAAATCCATAGTTCAAATGAAAAGGGAGGTCTCTAAAAGCAATTTGTTTATTAAGATTTCATGTAAGGGCATGCTTTTTTTGGGGAAAAAAAATCACAAAAATTTGAAAGGAGTTAAGAACTGAACATTTTTTCCTAGTTGCTTTCTCTCCTTTCAAATGCATGATAGCACTTGCTGTTCTTCCTTTGACTTTTAGGTCTCTGCCTACAAGCAGGTAGAGACGGCAGGTTTTCCTACACAAACTTTCTGAGACATAGGCTTCCCTAATTTGATGCTGAAAGAACTGTGAGCGTGCATATGAAACAGGCATGATACAAAATACCCTAGCATGGCTCAGTACTCATATGGTTGAAAATCTGGCCAAAAATAAACAGGGAAGAGTCTTCAAAAGTTGAGAGTGCACTGCAAACACTTTTGTCTTCCTGAAAATTGGGCACTAAAGGCATAATATGTTCTTCTCTGCAAGTTAGTAACAGCATGAACTTCTTGGGCTACATAGGGATGACTTAGTTACCTACAACTGCTTCTAATTTGTTTGACACGCCACTCCTAATCATGCAAATTTACCTGAATCCATAGTGCATGAAAGAGCTGGACAAAGTGTTCTGAAGGAGGGGTGTGGATAAGCTTGATTTTGGTTCTGTTTTCCTCTCAGTATAAGCAAAAAAAGTAAATTTGCTCATTTGCAAAATTCTTGCCTCCAAATACTCTTTCTAGTAGCTCAGCAGCCAGTGTTCAGGAGGAGATGGCTCTTCTGTGGAAAGAAGGATTCTGTGGAATCCTCACGTATAAACATAAAGAAAATGGTTGCAGATCAATGTTAACTTCAAAACCTGCAATGTGTCCACAAAGTGAGGGTGTAAACCAAACTACATATTTGAATGCAAAACTGTTAATGAATTTCAAGTACACCCAAGAACTTAGAAAGTTTGTGTTGGAGTAACAGTTATCACAGAGAAGCTTCCTTGAATTGTTGCCCTAAGGATGTTGAACTGCAGTCAGTTATGCTGAAAAGATACTACCTTGCACCTTTCACCTAGCCATAAAACAGTTACATACAGCTCATGTGCTTATATCAGAATAGCTATTTTCTGTAGAATTAAAACAACAAATGGGGTCTCAGAGGTTTAAAATCAGGATTCCTAAGTGACAAAGTTTTTCATTATGAGTTATATTCTGGCACATTACGAAGACACAGCAACTTTCAAAACCCCATAGGTATAGGAGACTGATGTGGCTGCAGTATTGGCACGGTAATAGGTACCAGCTTTTACATGTCACTAGAAACATCTGTATGTTACTTATAGTCATACCCTGTCTTCACTTTTTATGTAACTAAAGTTTAGACAATACAATTTTAATGGAAAATACTTTATTTAGTATATGTTTTTCAAACTAAATTAATTTGTTTTGCAAGTAACTTAGTCTTGTTCCTAGTGGAATTTCACATTGGTTAAGCTCAAGCTACTTTGCACTTGTGAATGAGTAATTTTATTCCATTTTAACTGTGAATTAATAGCTTTTTGTATTGCTGCAGCTAGAAGAATATACCTTTCATTGAGTTTACTGCTTTCCTTGAGTAACTGCAACATAGGGGATATTTTCGAAATGTATATTAAATTAGATCATAGAAATTATATTTTTAAAACTAATTGTTAAAATGTAAGTAACTGAAGAATCCACTCCGTAGTTTTCTCTTTTTAAAACTCTTAATTCAACAATTACATCAATGCAGATAACTTTACTTCATTAAATGGTAAGCAGGTCATCTTATTCACATAACTGTACATTTTCAACAAAGATTTTTTTCTTTTAACCAATAAAAACTTTAAGGTGCCTTCTGTATATCAGCTTTTCATTATGGACCTTCACACACCCTTCTAACTGCTAAGTCTTGAAACTGAATGGTTAAATTGGACTCTAGTTCTATATTCTACTGTGCTGTATGTTGTGATGCATACAATGAGAGAAACAGATGGGATTTTTATTTGTTCTTTCAGTCTGCATCAATCGGTGGTGCAAATAAAAGGGATTGTTTGCTGGTTTTAGAAGCACATGAAACTCCTTTTAGGAGCTTAAAATAAACTGTATTGTAATGAGGATGAAAGGATGTAGTGTGAATAAATTATGAATTTATTAAGTGAGCTGGGAAGTTTTCTTTAATGCAGTAAAATTTGCACTGGTGTAGAGACTGTTTTGAACTGTTGAAAAATGGCATCCATTTACTGTGCCTTGATTAACAAGTGTTTCTCTGTAATGTTTTTGTACATTTGACAAATGTTTCTTGCGTTTAAAAGGGCACTCTATACAGAATTCAGAATATGCAGATATCCTAGACTAAGAAACAATTTTTAATGTATTTCCCAAAATAAAATATGTATGCAACCTGTGTAAAAGAATTTCAGTTGTTCAGCTTTTTGCCATTGGACTTTACCTCCTTGACAGAATTTAGTCTTAAATGCAAATTCAGCCTATAGTTGGGAAAAGCAAACTTTCGACTGCCTTTTTTGGGAATTGTTTCATACTGCCTGTCATGGTTTAGCCCCAGCCAGCAACTACATTATT